TAAGAACCACAATGGAAAATATTTTAATGAAAGATCATTTGACAACCAAAAAAAATAGTTCTATTATCCACTAAACTGCCTTCCCTAAAAGGGTAGACTAGAGATAAAAACATATTTAACATATTTAATAGTATTTTTCTGAATGAATGAATGATCATTGATTTATGATGAATTGCCATGGCAAGTTAAATCTGATGTCATTAAACACAGCTGTCTATAAGATTTGCCCGTAACCAAGTCTGCAGTATTTCAGATCCATTTTAGTAACCTCTCTGCATTACACTAATCACTTGCTCCTTTAAAAAATTGACAGTCATGCCAAAAAGAAAATTTTAAAACTTTTTTTAATTGATTTTAAAGTGAGGGAGAAAGAGAGGAAGGGGGACAGACAGGCATTGATTTGTTGTGCCATTTATGTATTCCTTGGTTGATTCTTGTGTGTATCCTGACTGGGGATTGAACCCACAACCTTGGTGTAGTGAGTCAATGTTCTAACCAACTGAGTTACTTGGCCAGGGCTCCTGAAAAAAATTTTAAATAGTGAGTGGTGGAATATGGAACAAATTTGGTTTTCCAAGGCAGCCCTTTGTGATAGCTTCCAAATCCAAATCTGTCTTCCATCAAGACATCAGCTGTAAACTAAATAATCAAAAGTAAGCACATATCTAGCAAATTTGGATTATTACTAAGAAATACATATTATTTTCTCTTATCTCACAGGCAAAATGGATCTGACTCCCGGTTTACCATTATTCTTGATCGACGATTAGATACGTGGTCTTCTGTCAAAATCTCTCTCCAGAAAATCTCAGTAAGGACCACTGCATCTTAAATAGCTTCTTACTTTTGTTTTACATTATACTTTCTGTTTGTGGGTGTATAAATTAATTTGATAGTGATGGAGATGAAAAGTTACTGATGGAGACAATAAAATAGATGGGATGATAAGGTGGGAAAATAAGAAGGGTTGGTATAGGAGATTGAGCTAAACAGCTCCACCCAAAATAAAACCTAATGTGAAAAGATGAGTAGGTAATGGTTCAAGTTATGAATGAGAAGAGATTCATGGTTCCCTATGTCTTTCAGAGCTAGGCAAGTTTTTATGGGAACTTTCAAGAAATGCAAAGAGCTGTGTTGTATACTCACTGTAATATGAAAAAAGTATACAGAAGGAAGTTTAAAACAGTAATCAGTAATCCAACAATCCAGAAATAAGTACTTTTTAACAAGTGTATCTTTTCAGACTCCATGCCCCCCACCTGGGATAGGAGTAAGGAAGTGAGTCAACTGCAAAATGACATATCTCCCCTATTGGAATCTAGTCCCTAGCTTCCCAAGACCCAGGTAGAGAAAATAGTTTTCCTAAAGAAAATGTTATGACAGATGCAGTCCTGCCCACAGGGAAGATGACCTCTTACATTATTAAGCTCACCTGGATATAGTGGCATGGTCTGATACTTCTCTTTCATGGAAGAGGAAGAAGATGAGGAACCCATAGACTCCTTTTGAGCTGGCAAGAGTGGAGCTGTTTGTGGAAGCACCATGTTGTCGACCTCCTCTATCAGATCAGAGTGGTTGGGAATCAATATACATTTTTTCTTGGAGAGTCCAACATCATCAACAATCTCAAATTTTTACTTTGTCTCCTGACTGACACAGGAGGCCATGCCCAACAGAGAAAGTTGATTTACATGTGACAGCAAGACAAAAATCTAGGCTGTTGGACTTCTGAGCCTGGGTTCTTTCCACTATACTAAGTCGCTAACAAGTGTGAAAAATACAGTTGACACTTGAACAACACAGGTTTAAACTTATGTGGGTCCACTTATACACAGATTATTTTGTTTTCTTTTTTTTAAAGATTTTATTTATTTATTTTTCAGAGAGGGGAAGTGAAGGAGAAAGAGAAGGAGAGAAACATCAGTGTGTGGTTGCCTCTCACGTGCCCCCTACTGGGGACCTGGCCCACAACCCAGGCATGTGCTCTGACTGGGAATTGAACTGGCAGTCCTTTGGTTTGCAGTCTGGCACTCAATCCACTGAGCCACACCAGTCAGGCCCAGATTTTTTTTCAATAAATGCTGTAAATGTGTTTTCTCCTCCTTATGATTTTCTTAACATTTTATTCTCTCTAGCTTATTTTATTGTAAGAATATAGTAGATGATACATATAATATGCAGGATATGTGTTAATTTACTGTTTATATCATGAGTAAGACTTCCAGTCAACATTATGCTATTAGTAGTTAAGTTTTGGGGAGTCAAAAGGTATATGCAGGTTTTTGACTATATTGGTGGTTGGGATCCTAATCCTGCATTATTTAAGGGTCAACTGTGTACTGGAAATCACATGGTAAAATGAATGAGATCATTGTTCTCTTCATACCCAGTATGAATAGAGTCATCTTAGGCAAGTCAGCAAATTGTTTTTGTTTTGTTTGTTTCGTTAACAGAGGTGCTTAATTAAGCAATGGAGAGAAGAGTTAACACCAGATTGACACAAGTTACTAAAATAAAATAACAAAGCCTTGAGTATGCATAATATCTTTTTGCCTTTATAAAAGCAGTCACATTTATTAAGTAATATTGATTCTCTTTATTTCCTGATTAAGTGCTCCAGCAGGTGTCATTATTATTGGCCTATGGATGAGAGCATTGCTTTGACACACACACTTCAGAAAGGTTATGTGAGATCAAATAGCTAATAAAAAGAGCCAGAGCAAGAATTGAATTTTCGTGAATTTCAGTTGGTGCCTTTTCCACCTGCTGCTTTCTATCATTTTCCAAATTAATTGTGCATAGCCAAATAAATTCAGTGTTCTTTAGAAAAAGGTAGAATTCCTTTGGAGAGAGTAAATCTGCCCTCCCTACAGTATTGGGCCTTATCAGTGGTGCTAAATGAAGTAACAGCTATTTACCTTCCACTGGCTTATTAGGGTCGGTCCTTAAGCATGTTGAGCAGACTTCAGTTTGTGACAGTGGTCAGTTATTTTATACCAAATATAATACTTGTTACAATGAAACTTTTAAATTACGCAGCCTCGCTTTTTTCTTTTGGCCATAACTACTTGCTTGATTAAATTAATTTTTATTGAGTGACCATTTGACACATGGCATCAGTTTTTTGGTCAAGTTTTAGTGTTTTTAATTTTTTTGTTTTTTAAGATTTTATTTATTTTTACAGAGAGGGGAAGGAGGAAGAGATGGAGAGATACATCCATGTGTGGTTGCCTCTCTTGTGCCCCCTACTGGGGACCTGGCCCACAATCCAAGCGGGTGCCCTGACTGGGAATCTAACCAGCGGTTCCTAGGCCAACACTCAGTCCACTGAACCACACCAGCCAGGGCTCAAGTTTCATTTTTTTACTAATCAAATATGTTGCTTGGAATAGAGGTCTTCTTTTTCCTAAAACAGAAATATAAAATTCAGTCAAGATCCAGTTGATTTGGGGTCAACAGAGGAATACTGAGCTGATTTTTGGGAGGTAGTTCTCTCCTTTCTATTTTCCTAGGAATGCTTTGTTACTGAGGAAGAATGAACCATGCATGGTTCAGCAAAGAGATGGGCACTCAGGGTCCCTTTATTCTCGTAACTGTCAAATTGATGGCACTGGGAAGGAGAGGGGGTACAGGTGATGGCAACATGTAACTCGTTATAGATTGTTTCTCTTTTTAAGTATATTTTATTGATTATGCTATTACAGTTGTCCCATTTTTTCTCCTCTTTATCCCCCTCTGCCCTGCACCCCTGACTCTCCTACATTCCCCCACCTTAGTTCATGCCCATGGGTTGTACATATAAGTTCTTTGGCTTCTCTATTTCCCATACTGTTCTTAACTCTCCCCTGTCTGTTTTGTGCCTACCAATTATACTTCTTATTGCCTGTACCTTTTCCCCCATGCTCCGCATCCTTCTCCCCACCAATAACCCTCTATGTGATCTCCATTTCTGTGATTCTGTTCCTGTTCTAGTTGTTTGCTTAGTTTTAGTTTTTAGGTTCAGTTGTTGATAGTTGTGAGTTTGTTGTCATTTTACTCTTCATAATTGTGATCTTCTTTTTCTTAGATAAGTCCCTTTAACATTTCATATAATAAGGACTTAGTGATGATGAACTCCTTTAACTTGACCTTATCTGAGAATCACTTTCTGCTCTTTCATTCTAAATGATAGCTTTGCTGGATGAGTGTTTCATTTTAAATGTTTCTGCTTGTGGTAGTTTGTATACCTAAACTCAAGAGCACATTAATTATATCTCAACCATTTGGCACTATTTGCAATAAAGGTAAATACTGAATACAAGCTAACTTCAAGAGCAACAGTTGGCATTCAGAGAGGATTTGTGGTGAAAATTGCCATTGCATAGATAGGTGTAACTGTCTTTGCTATATTATTTTAAATGAGTATCTATGAAATAATTTTGTAGTTCAATTTGAAGACCTTAATTTGTAAGTTCCAAGATAAACCATGCAGTTAGGTTATACTTCATAATTCATGATAGGAGACACGATTATTTTAGTTATACATTTTGGGAAAATATTAATTTGGGAGAGAATCCTATCCATCTTAGAAAATTTGTATGTTTTATTCTTTCTAGATTATCGTCAGGAAAAAATTTCACAAACTGTTAGAATAGAATAGAATTAAATTAAAGAATAGAATTTAATTAAAAGATAGAATTTAATTTTAAGTTATAGACCAGGTCAAGGACAAGGATGAAGGTATCAGTTAATACTACCTTCACAAAGATTCTTACCATTCCACCTTAAAAATCAAACTGCGCAGAGGAGAAAGCCAGTCCCATCAAACCCCTAGGAGAGTCGGGGCTTTTTTTTTTCCCCCTTTCTTCACTCTTAGGACATGCCTGATCTTCTTGAGCAGTCCAGCACAAGCTAATCCATGAGGTTCAATCAGGCTAAGTAATTGGGGAATGTGTCAACTCTGAATTACAATGAGCAGCAGGGAAGGATTTGTCAGCTGACTAATCAGGGATAGTGGTTTTCTTACAGTGCCTGCCACAGTGGTAATGGAAGCTGCTACAGCTACGGTAGCTTTGTTTGGTAGAGATTTTTGGCTGCCGCTTTTCAGTACTACCTCAGAAGCAGCTCATATTTCATCAATGTTGCATTGACAATTGGAAAAGAAGAGTGTTATTGTGTATAAGCGAGATGGCAGAAGCAACTCCCCCGAGAGGCAAGATGAGGTTCAGAAGGAATGCGGTAAGGGCTCTGCCTGCAGTCCTGGAAAGCCTCTTCCCAAGTTCAAGTGCAGGGATGCTGCAGCATGGTGCTATAGCACAAACTGCTGAATGGGGCTTTTAAGGACAGATGGAGAGAATGGAGACTTGTATTTGCATGGATTGCATTGATGTGATTACTGTGGTGATGCCATAGGGAAGCATAGAATGTAATTTCAAAATCTAAATGTAATCAAGTTTCTATGAGGAAGTGCCGTTAGTCACTTAAGACTGCATGGACAATTTTGAATCACTTGGCAGAGCAGCTTTAAATCACAGGTTAAAATAACATCTAACGGAGGATTCATTCTTTCTTTCACTGTGGTCAAGTACAGTATGATATGATAAGGCCTGGAGACAACTTCATCAGTATTTAAAAAGGAAGCCCTCCCTGGGTGTTATTGTACTAGTGACAACATTTTAAAGTCTAATGAATTGAAGTGTTTCTCACTTTAGTTCTTCTCTAAATTAAAACTTTAAAGATACAGAACTCTAGCCTATTGACAACTTTTTTTAAAGGAAAAAAGAGTGACTCGCTTTGCATTATAGGCTAAAATTTAGAAATCTTTCCTTGCAAATATGTTTCCAACATTTTTCTACCTAAAATTTTCCCTTCATTAGCTTAGTTGTATACTAAATTCTCAGCAAATTTATGAAGTGATATATAAATATTTTGGGGGGAAAATATGAAATAATTGTAGCTAATTTAGCAACTAACTAGTTATCAGCAGGAATTTAACTGCCAACTTCTCTTTCAAAACTTAAGAGAATATTATTTATGTTATGATTTAAAATATACTTGCTCATTAAAAATATTGATATAACACAAAAAAATAAAGATCAGCCATATAAAATAATATTTGGAATCAAAAGTAAGATAAGGGAGATAAATGAGTAAGAATTTTATTGTGGCTGAAAGACAGTGACCCCCACTGAGTGAATAAATGAGTTATGTTCTGAAAAACCTCTTAGCACAGAATGCTATTTTAAAATTATAGTTTAGGTTATGAATCTTTTTATTTTGACAGAATTGTATCTTCAGATCTACAAATGATTTTGTATAATGGGAATAATAGTTTCAGACTTTTAATAAACAATTTTTGGTATACCAAAAATGCCTGTGTAGGTGCTTTGCAGTATTGGGTACAACTGACATCAGTACTTTTGTTATCAAAAGTAACTGACTTAGGCTTTCAGAAAGTTCGTAATTCCTTTATATATAGATGCTTTTTCAGTGGCAAACTTAGTTTCATGTATATACACATACATTAATATACACACAAATAAATACAGTACACAAGTATTCATTGAAGAGAGACATCTAGTACTGTGCTACACACAATATAAACTACCAAGGTAAATACAGGATGGCTATTGAGCTGAAAGAGTTTTCTTTTTTTTTTAATTTAAAAAATTTTTAAAGATTTTATTTATTTATTTTTAGAGCAGGAAGGGAGGGAGAAAGAGAGAGAGAGAGAGAGAAACATCAATGTGCAGTTGCTGGGGGCCGTGGCCTGCAACCCAGGCATGTACCCTGACTGGGAATTGAACCTGCAACACTTTGGTTCACAGCCCACGCTCAATCCACTGAGCTATGCCAGCCAGGCAAGAGTTTTCAACTGAGTAGAGAAGGTAGGACATGTTCATAAATAACTAAAACGAAAGAATTTCTACCTGGTGGGGAAGTCCTCAAGAGGAGATGACATTTGTTTAGACCTTATGCAAAAGCATATGTTTTTCTTACCTTTCTTTGATTCTTTCCTCCATTATTCTTTTAAATGAATTACTTTAAGAGGCCCCTGAGAACTGATATCTTGGCATTGATTAGATTAAATCTTAAAATCCAGAGCTATAGTGGAGGACAAATTTGTTCTGCTTACATGGATAGGGCTTGACCAGAGTGAAAACTCCGAAACTCAGCTGATGACACAGTGGTTTAACTTTGGAGAAACTCTGGAGTTGGCCTGATTCTGAAGACTGTGATAGGTAGTACCTGACAGGATGGTGCAGTGGATTTAAAGTCTAAAGAGAGGATTAAATTGGTTACTTGGTGGAAGTTGCCGTGACTGTGGCTCAGTGCAAGGGAAGAGATGAGAACAGATATGTGGCAAGAAGGGCAACCCACAAGGAAGGAGTATTTCTTGGAACTGTGCTGCCCCTGAGGTCACTTGGCAAGTTGTTTGGCGATGTGTAGAGTAACTCATACTTTCTGTACTCATTAAGGGTGGGGTAGGGTATGGAAGAGTGCAGAAGTCAGTCAGTCACAGCCTTGGAAACACTGCTCTGTAGCTTGAGGTTATGAGATTTTTCCCAGCCTCTTCTAAACATAGTTTGGACCTTATCAAGGCTGATCACATTCCAACAACTCAACATTATATTCTATTATAATATTAGATTATAATGGTTTCTGTTCAGTGGGCTCCATGATGTCAAATTGTTTCCAACAATGTGTTTGACTGTTGATGTTTGTTCCATTTTGTAGATGTCAATGTCGAGTCATTCCTAAATGCTAGGCAGCAAGTCTGAGTGTGCATTCAGTCCATGCATTGTTAAGTACCTGTCCTGAAAAGTATTATGTGCTGTGGAAAAAGCTCACCCTTAGGATTCAGGTAGGCCTGGGTGCCACTGCTCCCTGTCTGTAACCTTGGGCAAGTTATTTCACCAGTCTGCTTTAGTTTGCTCATCGGTAAAAAGGCCATCCTACCTACATCACTGCAATGGTACAAAGAGTAAATAGGGTAATATATGTAACAAGCCCGGCACATATGTAATAGGCTTTCAGTCAAGGGTTCCCTCTGTTACTGCATTTCTTTATCCTAAATATTAAAAATATAATAAAAGCAATAAAAATATAAATGGGTTTTAAAATATTTTATTTATTTTCAGAGAGAGGGGAAGGGAGGGAGAAAGAGGGAGAGAAACATCAATGTGTGGTTGCCTCTCACATGCTCCCTACTGGGGACCTGGCGCTCAACCCAGGCGTGTGCCCTGACTGGGAATTGAACTTGCAACCCTTTGGTTTGCAGGCCGGTACTCAATCCACTGAGCCACACCAGCCGTGGCTATAAATGATTTTTATATTAAAGTAACCACACTTTTTACTAGATAAGCCATTTTAGACAATTTTAAAGAAATGAATGAATGAAAAGTGTACATAAAGTGTATGACTTGCCTCCATTAGGTACTGCACAAAAGAAATGAAATAAGGTGAATTTCTAGACTTTGGTAGTGAAATGGTGTATCAAGTTTATGCCTTTTGGCGGTGTTATTGCTGTCCTTACTGTTATAAGTCCACATAATTGGGTGACCTGAGGGAACATGTGAGGAGAAAGGGAGTAAGTCTTTTCTTTTGGAGGAAAAGGGGAGAGAAAGCTCATTTTGTGCCCACGAACCTGAAGAACCAGTAAGAACTGCTGCAGAGGGCTGGGGTGGCGCCACGCACAGTGATTGGAGAAATAACTCTGAGCCTTATGAAGATGACCAACATATTTGGCTTTTACTCGAGTACCTTTAAGCAGTCACATGTTGGAACTCCAAAAAAAACAATGCCTGTAGTAAGCTGAAAGCAACACTGTTCTCTCATGCTACCTGTTTCTTTAAGGGGAAAAAGTGACAAAATAAAGCAAGTGTGACCCTTGCCCACATCTCTTTGCTTTTTCCGATTAAGTTCCTAAAAATGATGTATAGTTTTAAATTCTAGGGTTTGATTTTGGAGAAAATAGAAACTGTGCCTTTTCATGTTTATATAACCATACAGATTACAGAGCCTTAAAGCAGCATACCCAAGAATTTGTGGATGTAGTTTCTCCAAACCAAAATGGGAAAAAGTTCAATGGTCTTGCAATATATTTGCTATAAGAAACGTGCATGCAGCTATACTATTTATGATACGTGATATGCTGTTTGATTGCTCATTTGAATACTAGCTTTAAAATGGGTTATCTTGAATGTTTAGTTATATAAATATCTATATAGAGGAAAAGCACTGTCTCTATATACCTATCTACAAACACATCTTAAATCTAAATGTCCTTGCAGTTTAAAATTTCTCAAGAGTTCTCTGTCTTCTCTAGATTCTTATTGCCAGCGATCACAGTCAGAAGAGTGTACATATTATTGATATGGGCCCATGTTCATATATATGAAGCTTTAATTCAGAGTTTGCAAACTAGTAGTCCATAGATGTGTTTTGTTTAGACCATACATTATTTGGTGTTTGTTAAAGTCTTTTACCAAACTTTTTAATTTGTTTCCCATTTTTAAAAATCTTGAAGTTTTGCCCTGGCTGGAGTGGCTCAGTGGATTGAGTGCTGGCATGTGAACCAGAGCATTGCTGGTTCGATTCCCAGTCAGGGCACATACCTGGGTTGTGGGCAGGGTCGCCAGTCAGGGGTGCACAAGAGGCAACCACACATTGATGTTTCTCTCCCCGTCTTTCTCTCTCCTTTCCCCTCTCTCTAAAAATAAATAAAAAACTTTTAAAAAATCTTGAATTTTCCCAGAGAAATGTGGATTTGGGGCTTCTTTTGAGAAATCAAAAGACTTGGCAGAGTTGGGCCCACCTTTCCACATGACAATTAGCTGGAACTGAGTAGTAATGAGTGCCTCTCCCACAATGCTTTCCAGTTTGGCACATTTCCTCTTTCTTCTCATCATCTAGGAAGAGTGTGAGTTGCTACTTTCCACCTCAATCAGGCTGTGTTTTAATTAAACCCTGCCTACTTCATGCATTTACATTATTCCCCTAACACATGGTAGGCATTCAAGTTTGTTCCCTTTGCTTTAGGTTTCACGTTTAGATTTCTTGACCTTAAACCTGATCCTTGTACCATCTTTACTATATTGCCCCAAATTTCTCCTGTTGATTGTTTTACTGTCCACTAGGTGTTTCTCCAGAGGAAGGAAAGCTAAAGTGAACACACACACACACACACACACACATACACACACACACACGAATATATATCTATATATATAGATAGA